ATACCTGCCTGTGCAGTCCATTAGAGCACATCTCTTCCAGTCAATGTGCTGCCAAACTAATGGCATGCTGTTACAAGATGGGAGGTCGATGTCGGGGCACCTTCCTCTTTTAGAGGACTTGGTGGGTTGCTGCGACGAGGGAGCTTGTGTTATGCTGTACTGGCTCATAGACAGGTTATATTCCTCGCCGTCCCCTCTCACAGTACCACCTGACATAGGGGAAGCAATAGACTTGAAGCCCAATCTTTGTACCGACTCCATAGTTGCTTACAGTTTCCCCACGATGTGGCGCACAATATTTGTTGCCTCTTTCACGGATACCCTCCACCTCATGACGGTCGATACTAGTAACACCCACCTGAGGTTCCAAGTTGAAGGTTGTACTTGTAATCCCAGTCTTAACTATCGCTGGCTCATTCGTAAACGGTACAACCGTGTTGCCTATAAAGGAGAGCATCTTTCCTCAGCCACCAAAGAGTATGGCGTACTTGCTCGGGGGTCACACATTCTAATTTGGAATGCCCGAGGGTGCACAAGGCCCTCCTTCACAAAAAACTTCGCAGCCCTGCACAATAAATTTAACCCGATGTTGTTCATCATTTTGGAAGCTCGTGTTGGAAAACATGAGGCGAACAATCTCGTTGTTCGTAGCCTCCCTGGTGATTATGTAGCACAGATATGTGGTCCGCAGTCAATGCCTGGTGGAGTTATGATGTGTTGGCAACAACATATGCTAAGGGCCAATTTCTTCCACATATCGAGTGAGCTGATTGGGGTGGCTGTTGATACTTTTTTCCAGGTAATTTGTTTGATTTATAATATTGTTTGGAGTGTAAGTTAATGGAAGTTAAATTATTTAAGTAACTAATTGTTGTTTCCAAATACAGGCTCCACCACCACCACCACCACAACCATCTTGGCCTCCGACACAAGTTCAATTTAACAATGACCCGTTCAGCTTAGACGAGGAGGCAAAGCCAGGAAGTTACTACTTCAATTCTGGTTTGGCTTTCGATGGCTCCATCCACCACCTGGGATTTGGGAAAGATCTATGATGAACCGGGGATCAAACACTCCAAAATGCTTTGTGTCTTTGTTGAACTAGTACTGTAGTTGACTTGCTTTTATTTCTGTTTTAATTGACTTTGCCTTTAATTTCTGTAGAAGTAAAATTTTATTCTGTCCAAGTTGCAATATTGAGGCTTGAAGTACATCTTAAAGCCTTGACTCTGATAATTGGAGCAGTTTATTCCGCCTTTGAAACTAATTGCAAGGCCGTTGAGAATTATAATTTCCGAAAAGTTATAGCCTTCAATCACATAGCATTGATACCAATTTCAACACTAGAAATTATTATGATTAACTTCAAAACTGTCATGATTAACTTAAATCTTGACCTAATCAATGTTAACTTAGCATTGGAATATTACTCAACCAATAATAGAATTAGTCAAGCAACTCCGCTTCAGTTGGCTAAAGCAGTCTGCCGTCGATGGTCGAACAAAAATTTGCATCAAGAAAAATTGCCATTATCATCCTTTTCCAGCTCATGAATGGCATGTTGCACCTCCGGTTTACCTACGACATAAGCAATGTGGGGTAAGTGAGCAGGAAAAATCTCACCAGCCTCGTTGACCATCATCAACCTGTCTAAATTATACATTTTCGGGGTAATATCGTATTGGAGGAGGCCCCAGTGCCTCACAGTGAGATACATAATTGTATCTCACAATGGCAAATTTGTAAATAAAATAGACATAGTCATTGAACTTCATTTCTTGTAAAGGGTTTGTTCGTAAAGGGTTCGTGACTTCATGTTGTACTCAAAACAGTGTTAGGTAAAAAATAAATATTTCATCACAATGGCAAATTTGTAAATAAAATAGACATAGTCATTGAACTTCATTTCTTGTAAAGGGTTTGTTCGTAAAGGGTTCGTGACTTCGTGTTGTACTCGAAACAGTGTTAGGTAAAAAATAAATATTTCATCACATAAGTTCACAGGTGCCAAACAAGTCTCGACAAACGAAGCCAATTTTATGACGGTTCTTTGCTCACTGTCAACTTACGTCCTCCGTCACTGTAGTGCCATTATTATCATTGGTAGAGAAAACTGTACAACAGCAGTCCGAATGACTTGCTTGCAAATATCTCAGATAGTTTGGCATTGAGTTGTCATTGTCAACAATATTTGAATCACTAGGAAGTGTGTCATTGTCATTGCATTGTCATTGTCAAAAAAAGTGTCACTTGAATTAAGGTGAATTACTACGGTGAATCCATGTCCTTATACCACACTCATAGTTTCAAATATCTCATACACCCATTCGTAAATCGTATCTGCAATTTTGGTTATGCAATGCAATTGTGAAGGAATAATAATTCTTCGCCGGAGCATGGAAGAATTCAACAAATCACCTTGTATATATATTCGAGGTTATAAATTTGCGTTTATGAGGTTTATAAATAACTTGCACTAGAATACGATGGTAATTTGAGTAGGATATTAAAATGTACAAGTATATTTGCAGTTGGTATTTATTTTTGTAAGAAAATATGTAAGTTAATACGTAAAGGTTGTTATTCGATCGTAGCCCGAAACCTTATGTTGAAATTGGAACGGGACCCGAACCGTAAATTCGTTGAAACCAATACTCAATCAGAAGAACAATTTAATTTAAAGGAGAAACACCCGCAACCATACTCAAGAGTTAAGACCATATTATTGGAGCAATTCATTGGAATAGTACAAAATTATAATGCTCCTCAAAATTTTAAATAACAAATAATTATTAAATCATTGCCTAACCTTAGTATGATTTATTAAAATCATTTGTAACAAACAAATTTTCTTATATAATGGATCCTTTAATCAAAGAAAATGTACCACACTAGTGCACTGTGAAAAAATTAAAAGTATATTCCGATCTAGTAGATTAGTTAAATCTAACCACGTTAGATGACGACGAGGGAAAGTAACTAACAACGGTGCTTAGTTCAACTATGAGCGAGTCAACAATTGTCTAATACCGTTACATGATTTTAAATTGGAAAATATAAACAACTACAGAAGCAATGACTGGAGCATCGGAACTTCGATCAACTTGCACAATATAATCATCCAAAGGAGCAATGAATGGCACAATACGATCATTGCGTGAAGAACAGTAACATTTGGTTTTCAATGCTGAAGTAGATAGTAATACATGAACGGTTCACTACTTCAACTACGACATACCCGACTTCAATCAACTAAAAAGCTAGTATTTAAGCAAAATAATGTCAATTATTAAATGTATAATTTAGAATAGAAGGCGGACTACAATTTCCAAAAAGTAGTTACATTACTAGATTTGCATAAAAATTTAATCCTGCAGCGTTTGATCATATGTAAGGGTTTAGCCATTAGGGTTTGAAGGGTTTAGGGTTTAGGGTTTGGAGGGTTTGTACGGTTTTATTTCCGATTTGTTCAGTACAATGGGGTTGAATCTGTGTTGGCTGGTCCCACTTTTACTCTTTTGTTATTTTAATTTACGTAATGGTTGCACTTGTACCATTTTTGGGGAATCCTTTTTCCCATTTTTTTGAGTCGCTAAAAAGTTCTATTTGTGCAAAGGTTGATAGCGTATGGGTAATAGCTAGTTGATTGATGTTACACCAACAACCTAACACCATCAGCTAAAAATCATGAGCTAGTTGATTGAATGTTTAATTACGACTTTTATTATGATCCTTGTTGTAATGTTTAATTGGGATTTTCATTATGATCCTTGTTATTTGAAAACAATGAAAGGTTTAATTTGATTTTCATTATGATCCAGGTTGTATGAATGAGAACAATGATTTGCAAACATCATCGAGGCACTTCTGGGGGTTACACATAACTACCACACCCATATTGATACAATTAGAAATTGGTAAGGTTTCCCTATTTAAAAAAAAACAACAGTGAAATTGTATAATTAAAACTCTCAAATGAAACGCCATCATTAACTCCCCTCGAGAATTGGAACCATTAATTCCATAGTTCATCACCGTATTCGTTTTACTTCCATACTTCGTTCGAAGAGTAAAACACCTGTTCATCCCCCTTCAAAACCGTCTAAAAAACCTCAAAAAAAACACGGCAAGTGAATTCTGCTCCAAGGTATGTTCCTATTTTTTAATAGCCGTTTACTGGTTTGGGACTCTTTAATTATGTTTCCTGCATTTTCTCTATAATAATGTGTTATTTGTTTTTTATACTTCGTGGTTTTATTGGTAGTTTCCTTTTTGTTGGTTTTTTTTTTATATCGTTCTGCATGTGGTACCACTTTAGTTACAATTATACGAAATTGATCAAGGCGGTACAAGAATTGGATGATTAAATTGTACCACTTTTCTCACGGTGGTACAGAAACCCCTTGTTTTGTAACACTTTAGAAACATGGGTTTAAACTTTCAATTTTGTCTTTAGCTGTCAAAGAAGCGGAGGGGAAAGGGATTAAATTATTTGTTTTCCCGTTTTGCCCAAATTTGAAACTAATTATTTCGGGTTTATGAATTTTTGAATTTATGTGGGGGTTTTTTGTACTACTGTAATAACGATGCAGCGACATTGTTCAAGGTGGTACATGATATTGATGATGAAATTGTACTACTTTAATCACAGTGGTACAGAAACCCGTTGCTTTGTACCACTTTAGAAACATGGATTTACCCTTTCAATTTTGTCTTTGCCCGGCAAAGAAGTGGAGGGGGAAGGGACTGAAATATTTGTTTTTCCTTTCTGCCTAATTTTTAAACCATTAATGTCGGGTTTATGATTTTTGTAAATTTATTTGGGCGATTTTTGTACCATTAAAGTCACAATGATATGAAATTGTTCATAATGGTACAATAAATGGATGAGATTATTGTACCACTTTAGTCATGATGGTACAAAAATCCCCTGTTTTGTACCAATTTAGAAGCATGGATTTACCCTTTCAATTTTGTCTCTGGTTGTCAGAGAAGCTACCATGGCTGACTGGGTCGTGACTAAGGTAAAAGGGCATCTTGAAAAGTTGTACTCAGAGTTGGACGAAATCAATGCAGAGGAGAAGATAAAGATAGAAGAAGTAGCTAAGATTAGAGCATTACATACGACAAAGCTAAAAGAAGCGAGGGTTTTGTCGGCCCGTTTGCACCAGCTCCAGGAACAGCAAATTGCACTCCTTCAGAGGGAAATTCACGCAATCCGTTCAATGCCAGGTTATGCCGAAAATGACACGACTGTTAGAAATGACCAACCTGTTGAGAGTATTATCGAGGAGGACAGGTGTGGTGCTGTGGCTGTTTGTGGTGCTGATGATGGTAATGGTGACGAGGAGATGGAGGACCAGAATCAATAGGGGAATGCTGATGATGAGGATGAAGATGATGAGGATGACGACGATGAAGATAATGAGGATAACGAAGATGCAGAAGATGAAGATGATGAACATGGGGATGAGGACGGGGGTGCAGCTGCTGAAGATGATTCTGAAACTGGTCATGGAGGGCGCTGGTCTTCTGGCTCTGATGATGATGGAGGTGAGTATCCCGCTTATGATGACGACATCGGCACAGTCGATTCAGATGCTTACAGGCGGCCTAATCCTACCAGCTTTTACGATCCTTGGGATTAGTTTGGTTTGTTTATGTTTAGTTGTGTAATCTACACAATATGTTTAAGTTTAAGGTAAAGGTTAAGTTTAGTGGGTGATTAGGGGGAGTTTGAAGACAATTTTCATGATGTAGGATAATTGGGTGATTTTTTTGTTGTTTTTTTTGTGTTAGCGTTTTGTTTAGCGCTTTGGTATTTTAGGAGTATTTGAATCCATAATTTGTGTTAATTTTGTTGATTAGATCGTGGAAGATATTACATTGAACGTAAATGAAGACACTAAGTGTTTTTAGACCCAAGGTTTTGGCAGAATTTTCAAGGATACCTACCTATTGAAGATATTACATTGAAAGTGAATTAAGACACTAACTGTTTTCAGACCCAAGGCTTTGGCAGAATCTTCAAAGATACCTACCTATTGACACTAGACTACAGTGGTACCTAAGTTGTCCTAGTGGTACCCTGAATTACAAATCACTAAGATTCTAGTGTACTATGACGAATTAGTTGTTAGTAACTTGACTAGTAATAAGTTATTAGTAACTTGACTAATTGGGTGATGTAAACGTTCTCCTACGACGCAAAACGTTCTCCTACGCCGCAGGCATTTGTACCACCGTGCTTATTAATAATCCATTTCCTTTTTTAGTGGTTCATTTTGTAAGTGTCTTTGTACCAACTCGACTTCAGTGGTACCTAAGTTGTCTTAGTGGTACCCTGGATCAAATAACAAGGCACATGACACGTTTGATTGGTAAAATGGTTTAACAACCTACATCGATTCAAAGAAAAAATTGAAGGAATAAGATTTAGTCACTAAGAGAACTCTACTGTTGGTACATGTAGGTGTTACGGCATAAAATGGGACTGAACCCGCTCACTGCCGTTGAAAGTTCTCAACAACAGTGTTATACGGTGATCGTAAATATCCGGACGTCCTGAATTACAAATCATTACAAATCACCCAAGTGTACGATGATGACTTAGTTATTAGAAACTTGACTAGTAATTAGTTATTAGTAACTTGACTAGTTGGGTGATGTAAACGTTCTCCTACGCTGCAGGTATTTGTACCACCCTTGTTATTAATAATCCATTTCCTTTTATAGTGGTTCATTCTCTAAATTGATTTGTACCACCTTGAATACAGTGGTATCTATGTTGTCTTAGGGGTACCCTGGATCAAATAACAAGGCGTACCTCAAAATTATGTGTTAGATATATTAATAACTTACCCTGTCCATCTAGAAATCTTGCTATAGTGGTACATTTATTGGTACTTTTATTGCGTAAGATATGTACCATTAATTAATATATGCATGCGTAATTTCTAATTGCAGTTTCCAAGAAATCCTCGCCGGTTTATAAATCTCCCCCACTAATTCAATTATCCACCATCATCATCACAACTCTCAAAGCACTATATCCACTCCCATGCATGAAGGTGAACCGTCACTTTGAAGTCTATTTATGTGTCAAACACTTTTTGCAAAAAAATTTAACTTCCTTCTATTCAAACAAAGTGATCTTCCTGTCTAAAAAAATTAAAAATGGATGTAGAAGAGAGTAGGCGAAAATTTACAACTTCCATGGTTGACATCCTTCCGTTAGAAGTGTTGGCGATCATTCTAAGTTTCGTTGCTAAGTCATCTCCTGCTGATTTATTTCGGTGCAAATTAAGGTAGGCTTATACTTGCAACATGCACTCTGTTTCTCATCACATACATAGAGAATGTAATAATCTAATTTCTGTCGTATAACTTGATAATAGTTGTAAAGGACTGCGACGGATAGCCGAAGAAAAAGGGGTCCTTCAACAAATTCACCTCTGTTGGATTAAAACACGAATGTTGTGGCCACACCGACAAGCGGCGGAGAAGTTCTTCATGAAGTGCGTGTAGAATAAACATCTTGAAGCTTTGCTTGAGTTTGGATTTGTACATCTTCTTTCCCATTTATTGTGAATTTTGTACGTTAGAATATATGTTGTAGACTTCTAGTCACTGTTTTAGCATTTCACTTTACCGTAGCGACAATACTTCAACACCTTGGTGGTAGACGAAGGTTTGACGATGTTGGAAAGAGCAACGGAGTTGCAGAATTTAGTGGCAGCATATGTAGTAAGCCTCATATTCATATACACCGGAGAAGAAGAAAGGGGTGTTAAGCTTTTGGAGAACACTATCAGCAACATCGGATCTGCAGGGATAGTCTAGTGCAGAAGGAATTGAAGTTACGTGAGATGGTGATTTCAAATTGGATGAACAATCATATGATTGTACATCATATACCACAGCCGAAAATATTCTGCAAACAAAAACTACAGCACGAGAAGAACTTAAACCCATGGGATCCTCTTTACGACGAGGATGCGGAAAGTACAATATTTTGTATGACTTGTAAATGCATTAGGGAAATAAGCGTATTTTATGAAATACTACGTGGTCTACTCACCGGTCCTGTGTAATGCATATGATCTGTATTAATGACATTTCTTTTTCAAACTTGTAGATTATGATTTGTTCATTTTTTGTTCAGGTTACACATAATGATATGTTTCGCAGTTCGAAATTGAAAAGGGTAACACCATGTTTCAAGAGTGGTAGGTTTTGTACCACCGTGTCAAAAGTGGTACAATTTTGTTTATATCACTTATACCACCCTGAACAATTTCGTATGTTCGTGTCTAAAGTGGTACAAAAATCACCCAAATGTATAGGTATACATAATGTTTTAGGTAATCATAATGTTTTAAGACAAATATGGAGATTAATTGTAATCGGTTATTTTCAAAATATAATTTAAAAAGATATTTTAATAGATATTTACGGAATTTTTACCAAATATGCTGATCCAATATTTATTTACTGACGATGTATATCAAGGACGTGACATAAGGGTCAAGGCCTTGACATACTGTGTAGCGTGCCCATCAGTCACTCACAATAAATAATAAGATATGTAGATTGTGCCTTTACTCCCTCTACGAAGATTATTTAGCATCCCCAACTCCAGTCGAATAAAATTGAATCGTTCTTCACTTCAAGGCTTAGTGAAAATATCAAGTAATTGATAAGTAGGAGAGATAAAAGAAATAGAAACATCACCTTTTCAACATGATCTCTTATAAAATGATGTCGTGCATCAATATGCTTAGTACGAGAGTGTTGCACAAGATTTTTATTTATTGAAATAGCACATGATTTGTGAACTAATGCGATTAGTTTACTGTTAATAATAATCCGGTCCTGATCTTAAATAAACTTTATAAACACAACAAGAAGCATGCAATTGTTGGGCAAAACCCTTAATAACTATTCCATCCTAATGTCCACAGAATAGCTTATATGCAAAATGCATTCTCTGAACATAGTCCGACCAATGTACCATACTAATACGCTTCTAATATTGTTTTTAAAACAGACAACTAGATAAATATAATACAACCAGAAAGAGCTAAGTGGGGTGGGGGATAGCACTGAGATCAGCAATAGTGGAGAAATTATTAATTAATGGGGTTGTAGAGCTTTCGTAAGCTCTTTTGGTGTTTCTTTCCCACTAAATGCATCTTAAGACAATCATTGCTTGTGCACTCGATCTTGCAAACACCACACCATGGTTCTTCGACTTTTCTTTTTTTTTCAAAGGTTGTGTTGTGCATTCTTACTCACTGGAACTGGTGTTTTAGCAGCATCGTTGGTTGGAGTAAATAAGGGAATCGGGCTCTGGAGCTTTTGTAAGCTCTTCTGGTGTTTCTTTCCCCCCAAATGCATTTTAAGACAATCATTGCTTGTGCAGGTGATTTTACAAACATCACAGCATGGTTCACCGATTTTTCTTATCTCTGAAAGGTTGTGCTGTACAATCCGATTATCAGGAAAAATTCCGGAATATTGGGGAAAATAAATCAGAAATAAACAAAAGACAGTACTTCGAAATTCACAAACATTAATGTTAATCGAATTATTACAATAAATTTATAGTATAGTTATACATATTTTTTTATAAAAGAAGGAAATGTTGATAATATTACAGTACAATTCTGAAAAATGGATTAACTAAAATGGATTAACAATTGAAGGTGACAATGCTTGATTATTAGGTTTAGACATTTTTGTTTTTGGTAATTCTGAATTTAAATGGGGAAAAAAATTTGGGAGATTAAGTAGAGAGAAATGATGAAGAAACTGTATGTCCTCCAACACTTCGTGACCATTTCACTGCGAAATAGCGAAGTAGCCCATCGGTGTAAACATTACGCTTGTTTCCCATGAACTCTGGAAGTGTAAGGTCATTGTCAACTACTCAAAAATATTCGCGTTTCAGAAAGTGGGTCATTGTCATTGTATTGTCATTGTCAAGTATCATTTTAGCCAAATCTTCACGATTTTGAATCGTCCTTTTACCACACCCATATTTTCAAACATGACACACACCCACTTGTAAATCGTATCTACAGTGTTGGTAATGAAATTGTGGTAAGTGAATGACTGTAATTGATGGAACTTAAACACGTACCTTAAAACGGCTATTTTTTTATTTATTGTTAAAAAAAAAACTAAGATCACGAATGGATGAGTAAAGATCACGAACAAAGATCACTTAAGAAAAAGAGAGAGACCACTTAAGAAAGATCGTTTTTAATTTTCATCCCCAATTCAACTCAATCCAGACATGGCCTAAAATTCTAAAGAGAATACAATTAGCTTTGGAAAATAATTAATTAAACAAAGATCACTTAAGAAAGACCAATTTATAAAATTAGACAAATTATTTAAAATTACTAACTGAATTTAAAGTAATGACATCCCTTAGAGTGCTATCTAAAACACTAAAGTATCCTTATATTACTTTTTGTAAAAAAAAATTTAAACGTCATATAATAAACTTCATATTACCACTAATAAACACAAAGCACGCTACGTAGGTGACACAACAAAACCGTTAACAAACATCACTCGTGTAATGCAACGTTGTACCTTAAAAAGCAAATGTTGTACCTTTAGGGTACAAGACAGTTGT